TGGGCGCGGTGGCTCAAGCCTGTAATCCCAGCACTTTGGGAGGCCGAGACGGGCGGATCACAAGGTCAGGAGATCGAGACCATCCTGGCTAACCCGGTGAAACCCCGTCTCTACTAAAAAAATGCAAAAAAAAAAAAAACTAGCCGGGTGAGGTGGCGAGCGCCTGTAGTCCCAGGTACTCGGGAGGCTGAGGCAGGAGAATGGCGTAAACCCGGGAGGCGGAGCTTGCAGTGAGCCGAGATCCGGCCACTGCACTCCAGCCTGGGCAACAGAGCGAGACTCCGTCTCAAAAAAAAAAAAAAAAAGACGGTGTTTCACCATGTTGGCCAGACGGGTCTTGAACTCTTGAACTCCTGACCTCAGGTGATCTGCCCACCTCAGCCTCCCAAATTGCTGGGGTTACGAGCCTGGGCTCTCTCTCTGCCTGTGTTTTCTTTCTTTCTTGCTTTCTTTTTTTTGAGACGGAGTCTTGCTCTGTCGCCCAGGCTGGAGTGCAATGGCGTGATCTCGGCTCACTGCAAGCTCTGCCTCTGAGGTTCATGCCATTCTCCTGCCTCAGCCTCCCAAGTAGCTGGGACTACAGGTGCCTGTCACCACGGCCGGCTAATATTTTGTATTTTTTTTTTTTCAGTAGAGATGGGGTTTCACCGTGTTAGCCAGGATGGTTTCAATCTCCTGACCTCATGATCCACCCGCCTCGGCCTCCCAAAGTGCTGGGATTACAGGCGTGAGCCACTGCGCCCGGCCTGTGGCTGTTTTCTTAACCTGGCAGTGTCTGGGCTGGGAATAAGGAGTCAGCTTTTAGCATCACGCTTCCCTGCCCAGCCCCACCCAACACAGCTTCCTTCTTCAAGGAGCCTACAGTCTCTGGGAGAAGAGTGAGACAGTCCCAGATAAGTTGGCTACAGAGTCAGCTTCCACCATCAGGCACTCCAGAATGCCCACAGCTGCCCTTTGAGGTGAGCAGATTCATCCCGGTTTTACAGCTAAGGGGAAGATGAGGCTCAGGGAAAGGTGGCCCAGGTCCCACAGAGGTGCAATGAAACCCCAGTCTCATGACCCTGCTCCACCAGAGCCAGAGCTGCCCTACCCCACCTCACTTTCCTTATTTATTGAAGAAAGTGGGTAGGCATGCCAGTCTAAACAGTCTGCCTGGAGTTTGGTGCTCCTGCCCTGACCTCCAGTGACCTCACCACAGCCTCAATTTCTGTAAAAGGAGACAGAGCCCTCCCAGACCACTGCAGCTGTGCCCTCCGTCCCCCACGCCAGGAGGGAGAACTTGCCTGCCAGACTCAGGCTGAAAAATCTCTTTGTGTGAAAGGTCCCCAGGAGGGAAGGGAGGAGAGGGCTCGTGTGTCAACAATATACATTTGGTGAGCTGCTGTTACGTCAGGCACAGAGCTGGTATATTTCACACTAGGAGTTTCTCACTTGGGATCCCCACTGGATACAACCTGTGCTTGGGTCTATGTGTTCATTTTTCCTGGGGGAAGGGACCCACAACTTCCACTAGATGTTGGAATGACTGCTTTATGAAAATTATAGGATATTACTATTTGGGAGGCTGAGACAGGAGAATTGCTTGAACCCGGGAGGTGGCGGCTGCAATGACCGAGAGCATGACACTGCATTCCAGCCTGGGCGATAGAGCAAGATTTCGTATCAGGAAAAAAAAAAAAAAATTGGCCGGGTGCGGTGGCTCACACCCGTAATTCCGGCACTTTGGGAGGCCGAGGCAGGTGGACACCTGAGGTCACGAGTTCGAGACCAGCCTGGCCAACATAGTGAAACACCGTCTCTACTAAAAAAAAAAAAAAAAATACAAAAATTAGCGGGGCCTGGTGGCGCTGTTCCTGTAGTCTCAGCTAGCTACTCGGCAGGCTGAGGCAGAATTGCTTGAACCTGGGAGGCGGAGGTTGCAGTGAGCCGAGATCGCACCACTCCACTCCAGCCTGGGTAATAATTGCGGAAACTCCGTCTCAAAAAAAAAAAAAATTATATCCTCACCACATGCCCCCTACCATTGCTATAAAGATAAGGAAACCAATGCTCTGGGGGACTGGGTGGGTTGCCCAAGGGCATCTGATGAGAAAGTTGTAAAGAGGAACAGAACAGGATTCCTGCTCTTGGGATGTCTTTGAAACAAGAGCCTCGGGAACTCCTAATTCATCTGTCCAGGTTTCACTCTGATGTCCTTCTTGGGGCAATCCTTCCCTGCCTCCTCCACCCCGCAGTGTTCCTTAGTCTTGCACCCAAGACCCTTCATGACCCAGCCCTTGCTGTATCATCTTGTTACTCTCCTCCTCCAGTCACCTCAAGACCTGTGATATCCCTTACCACAATATCTATACTTTCATGCCTTTGCACCTGCAGTCCCTCTGCCTGAATCACCCTAATCCCACTACCCTCAGACTGCCCGAAGAACTCTGTTCCTTCAAAACCCCATTCAAGAGTCACTTCACCTAGAAAGCCATCCCTGAGCCTCCTGGGTAGGGCGGGGGGTCCCCCTGAGGGTTCCCGTAACACCCCACACACTCAACTTTTGCTAGGCCACACAAGTCACACGTGGTCGAAGTTAGGTCAATATGTGATGAATGAAGACTTGGCAGTAGCGTTCGTCGCCCGGGCTCCAGGGCATAGTTCGCTAATGACACGGGCCTGCCCTTCTCACCACTGTCCCCCAGCCCTGCAAGAGCGGCACGGAATAGATGGCCAGCAAATAATTTGCTGACAGATTGAGCTGCTGCGGAGTTCGAGACACACGGCTCCCAAAGGTCCACAGCGGTGCCTGGGTGCCTGCCGACGCTGGGACTTCTCTCGCCGCAGCAGACCCCCAACTACCCACCCTCGAGCTCTGAAGATCCACCCTCTCCCGGGCAGGGCTCCCTGCCAGCTCTGCAAACCGCCTTCTCCAAACGCATGCTGGACAAAACCATTCTCCTCGCGGCAGAGACCCATCCCCCGCCCGGGCGGCCGCGCGCACCCGGCCCATCGCGCTCGCGCCGTTTGAATCTCCCGCCTGCGCGGGCGCCGCGGTGCAGGCGTGAGAGGCGCGGCGGCGGAGGGGCAGCGCGGCCCTAGCTCCCGCGAGGCGGGGCCCAGCGGCCGCTGGAGCGCCCCGCGGGGCCGGGGAATCGCGAGCCCGCATCGCGCCTTCCTGCCGCCGGGCTTCACGTGGGGCCAGCGCCGCGCTACACGGGCGAAAGCGGACAGCGACCTAGGCCCGCGTGGACCGGCCCGTGCTCCGGCTGTGGCCGCCCCGCGCACCGCCCTCTGCCCGGACCCTCCGCGCGCCCTGAGCGAGACCTACCTCGGTGCACGTCGGCCACAAGGAACTCCAGCGTTCCCCGCCGGGCCGCGAACTGCCCCAGAGCATGCGCTCTGCAGGCCTCTGGCCCCGACCCGGGCGAGAAAGGAAAACAAAGAGCCCGGCGGCCCCTGGCGGCCATCCCAGGATCTGCATGTGGCGCGCTCACGGGCTGGGGGGAGCTCTTGGCCAGGCTGGCTCCCCTGGCCCGGTTCCAGTGAGTGTGTATTTTGGAAACCCCAAATCGGGACACGTGGACTAACAACCAGAAAGACTCCTTGAATTCGGTCTGTTTAGGAAAATCTCGTGCGGTAGGGTCTGTACGGAGAAAAAAGATATCTTCCCTACCCTCAAGAGGGCATGGAGAAGGATGAAAAATCAGACTATCAGCAACCACACAGCGCTATGACCGTGATACCCACAGGGGCATCTTACTCAGCGCAGGGCTTAAGAACGGCTTTCCAAGTTAAGTCTAGGAGGGCAGGACATCCTAGGAGAAGCGACGTTTGCAATGACAGGGAACCATGAGAAGCAGAGGGTGCCTGTGGGAGTGACAGATCATGGATGCAGGGTCTTGTGTGTCTAAGGGGTCCAGCCTGTATCCTGAGGCAGTGGAGATATATGAGGATTTGGGCACGGGAATGGCATGATCAGATTTTGTGCCCCATGAGTTAACATCAGATGGGTATGTGCCCATGTCTTAAGGTTTGAGGGAGGCACATCTCACATGCGTGTGAACACCCAGTCATCATTCTTATGAGCTACAAAAGCATCCCGATATGATCAGATCTTATAGAACAAAATAGAGAATGGACTTGGGGAAAACGGGAGCCAAGTGGGGAAGAGCAAGAGGAACGAGAGAGACCAGATAAAATAGGAGATAAGGGTGTGAGTTGGGGTTGGGTTGGAGATGGAAAACAGGTACCAAGGAAAGGCTGTCTCTTGTTAATACACCCATTCTTCAGGATGGATACAAACAGTTCTTCAGGATTTCAGGTGTTCCCTGAAACCCTTGCAAATGATGTTTTGTTGATTTCACGTTGATTCAGACTCTGAGTCATTCTACTGCACCCAAAGTCTAGATGGACACTTTTGATGAGTTTTTTTTTTGTTGTTGTTTTTTTTTTTTGAGACGGAGTCTCGCTCTGTCGCCCAGGCTGGAGTGCAGTGGCGCGATCTCGGCTCACTGCAAGCTCCGCCTCCCGGGTTCACGCCATTCTCCTGCCTCAGCCTCCCGAGTAGCTGGGACTACAGGCGCCCACAACCGCGCCCGGCTAATTTTTTGTATTTTTAGTAGAGACGGGGTTTCACCGTGGTCTCGATCTCCTGACCTTGTGATCCGCCCGCCTCGGCCTCCCAAAGTGCTGGGATTACAGGCGTGAGCCACCGCGCCCGGCCATGATGAGTTCTTACCAACTGAACTTTTTTTTTTTTTTTTTAGACCGAGTCTCGCTCTTGTCAGCCAGGCTGGAGTGCAGTGTTGTGATCTCGGCTCACTGCAACCTCTGCCTGCCGGGTTCAAGCGATTCTCCTGCCTCAGCCTCCTGAATAGCTGGGATTACAGGTGACTGCCACAACACCTGGCTAATTTTTGTATTTTTAGTAGAGACAGGGTTTGGCCATATTGGCCAGGCTGAATTTCTTCTATGCAGGGCCTGCCACAAAGGACTCCCCCGTCTTCAGAGTTTCTTACCTCTCCAAGTTTACCTCTGCCTCCATCATGGACTCCTCTTTTGGATGATGTACTGTGAAATTTCTCCAACTTTTAACCCTGGGATCTCTGATCTCCCTCTCTCTCTCTGCTGTCTTCCTCCAAGATCTTATTCATGTAGCTTCATGTAATAATAATAAATGATGATGATTATTATTGCCTATTTTGTAAGAGCCTTTATTTTGTTAACTACAGAAACATATCCATGTCAGCTCATGTGTTCCTCATGAAAACCTCATGGCAGTTGGAATATAAGAAAACTGAAGTTTAAAGAGGTAAAGCAAGTTTTCTGGGGTCATCGCACAAGTGGTGGAAGGTAACCTGAACTCTTTCTTTGTTTTTTTTTTGACATGGAGTCTCTGTTGCCCAGGCTGGAGTGCAGTGGCGCAATCTCGGCTTACTGCAACTGGGTTCAAGCAATTCTCCTGCCTCAGCCTCCCGAGTAGCTGGGATTATTACAGGTGCTCACCACGACACCCGGCTAATTTTTGTATTTTTAGTAGAGACAGGGTTTCACCGTCTTGGCCAGGCTGGTCTTGAATTCCTGACCTCATGATCCACCCACCTCAGCCTCCCAAAGTGCTGGGATTACAGGCGTGAGCCTCTGCACCCAGCCTTAATTTTTGTACTTTTAGTAGAGATGGGGTTTCTCCATTTTGGCCAGGCTGGTCTCAAACTCCTGACCCACCCAGGCTAGAGTGCTATGGCATGATTTCAGCTTACTGCAATCTCTGCCTCCTGGGTTCAAGCGATTCTCCTGCCTCAGCCTCCCGAGTAGCTGGGATTACAGGTGCCCACCACCATGCCCAGCTAATTTTTGTATTTTTAGTAGAGACAGGGTTTCGCCATGTTGGCCAGGCTGGACTTGAACTCCTAACGTCAGGTGATCCACCCGCCTCGGCCTCCCAAAGGGCTGGGATTACAGGCATGAGCCACTGTGCCTGGCCATTTTTTGTATTTTTAGTAGAGACCAGGTTTCACCATTTTTGCCAGGCTGGTCAGGAACTCCTGACCTCAGGTGACCCGCCCATCTTGGCCTCCCAAAGTGCTGGGATTACAGGCGTGAGCGACTGCACCTGGCATTTATTTATTTTTTAGTTTTGTATTTGTATTTTTTATTTTATTTTGAGATGGAGTCTCATTCTGTTGCCCATGCTGGAGTGCAGTGGTGCAGTCTCGGCTCACTGCAACCTCTGCCCCATGGGTTCAAGCAATTTTCCTGCCTCAGCCTCCGGAATAGCTGGGATTATGGACACGCACCACCATGCTAGGCTCATTTTTGTATTTTTAATAGAGACCGGGTTTCACCATATTGGCCAGGCTGGTCTTGAGCTCTTGACCTCAAGTGATCCACCCACCTTGGCCTCCCAAAGTGCTGGGATTACAGGTGTGAACTACCGCACCCCGCCCCAGTTGTTCTTTTGAGACTAAGTCTCACTCTGTCACCCAGGCTGGAATGCAGTGGCAGATCTCGGCTCACTACAACCTCTGCCTCTCCGGCTCAAAAGATCCTCCTGCTTCAGCCTCCCGAGAAGCTGGGAACACGGATGTGCACCACCATGCCCAGCTATTTTTTTTTTTTTTTTTTTTTTTTGAGACAAAGTCTTACTCTGTTGCCCAGGCTGGAGTATAATGGCATGATCTCGGCTCACTGCAATCTCTGCCTCCTGGGTTCAAGTAATTCTCCTGTTTCAGCCTCCTGAGTAGCTGGGATTACAGGTGTGCACCCGGCTAATTGCCCATTTAATTTTTGTATTTTTGGTAGAGACAGGGTTTCACTATGTTGGCCAGGCTGGTCTTGAACTTCTGAGCATCAGCAGTCAGCCTGCCTTGGCATCCCAAAGTGTTGGGATTACAGGAGTGAGCCACTGCAACCAGCTGATATGGAGGTCCTGGTTGTAATAATGTACTGTGGGTTTTATAACATATATAAAAGTAAAATACATGACAGTATCAAAGACTAGTGAGAAATGGAAGAAATATTTTTATTTTTATGTATGTATGTATGTATGTATTTTTTTTTTTGAGACGGAGTCTCACTCTGTGGCCCAGGCTGGAGTGCAGTGGCACGATCTCCGCCCACTGCAAGCTCCGCCCCCAGGGTTCATGCCATTTTCCTGCCTCAGCCTCCTGAGTAACTGGGACTACAGGTGCCTGCCACCACGCATGGCTAATTTTTTTGTATTTTTAGTAGAGACGGGGTTTCACCCTGTTAAGCCAGGATGGTCTCAATCTCCTGACCTTGTGATCCGCCTGCCTCGGCCTCCCAAAGTGCTGGGATTACAGGCGTGAGCCACCGCGCCTGGCCAGAAATATTTTTAAGTGTTTTTTTTTTTTTTTTTTTTTTTTTTGAGATGGAGTCACTGTCGCCCAGGCTAGATAGAGTTCAGTGGCGTGTTCTCAGCTCACGGCAACCTCTGCCTCCCGGGTTCAAGCAATTCTCCTGCCTCAGCCTCCTAGTAGCTAGGACTACAGGTACGTGCCACCATGCCCGGCTAATTTTTGTGTTTTTAGTAGAGAGGGGGTTTCACCATGTTGGCCAGCCTGGTCTCAAACTCCTGACCTCAGGTGATCCGCCGGTCTCAGCCTCCCAAAATGCTGGGATTACAGGTGTGAGCCACCGGACTCGGCCTTTTTTTTTTTTTTTTTTTTTTGAGACGGAGTCTCGCTCTGTCGCCTAGGCTGAAGTGCAGTGGCACAATCTCAGCTCACTGCAACCTCTGCTTCTAGGTTCAAGTGATTCTTCTGCCTCAGCCTCCCAGGTAGCTGAGACTACAGGCGAGCACCACCACACCTGGCCAGTTTTGTTTTTTTTTTCATTTTTAGTAGCGGTGGGGTTTCACCATACTGGCCAGGCTGGGGAAGATTCTTATACTACAGGTGAACTGGTTTAATATCAATGGAATGTAAACTATTATAAATTAAAAATGTACAATATGGCTGGACATGGTGACTCATGCCTGTATTCCCAGCGCTTTGGGAGGCCAAGGTGGGAGGATTGCTTGAGCCCTGGAGTTCAAGACCAGCCTGGACAACATCGTGAGACCTTGTCGCTACAAAAAATACAAAATTTAGCCAGCCATAGTGGCACATGCCTGTGGTCTTCACTACTCAGGAGACCAAGCTGGGAGGATCATTTGAACCTGGGAGTTCCAGTTTGAGGCTGCAGTGAGTCATGATCTTGCCACTGCACTCCAGCCTGGGTGACAGAGTGAGACCCTGTCCGAAAAAAAAAAAAAAGTAAATCGCCTAAAGTCTCCAATTAAAAGGCAGAGACTGTCATACTGAAAAACCTAAAATGTTACCTACAAGAAATAAAATTTAAAAATAAGGCCAGGCACAGTGGCTCATGCCTGTAATTCTAGCACTTCGGGAGGCCAAGGCAGGCAAATTGCCTGAGCTCAGGAATTTGAGACCAGCCTGGGCAACATGGTGAAACCCCATCTCTACTGAAATACAAAAAATTAGCCAGGCATGGTGGTGCATGTGGTAGTACCAGCTACACTAGAGGCTGAGACATGAGAATTGCTTGAAGCTGGGAGGCAGAGGTTGCAGTGAGCTGAGATCGCACCACTGCATTTTAGCTGGGCAAAAGATTGAGAATGTGTCTCCAAAAAATAAATGAATATGTAAATAAATATGCTCAGCCAATGCTGGATCTGCAAAAAGAAAAATAATATAAAAGTAAATACACAAATAATAAATTTGTACAAAAAGTAAAAGATACACTGTTGTTTTGTTTTTGAGTCAGGGTTTGCTCTGTTACCCAGGCTGGAGTGCAGTGGTGTAATCATAGCTCACTGCAGCCTCCACCTCTAGGGCTCAAGTGAGCCACCTCAGCCTCCCCAGTTGCTGGGACCATAGGCATACAGTACCACCCCTGGCTAATTTTTGTATTTTTTTGTAGAGACAGGCTTTTGCTGTGTTGCCTAGGCTATTGTTTTAACACTAGTCAAAAGAAACACTGGTGGCCAGCTGTGGTGGCTCACGCCTGTGAACCCAGCAGTTTGGGAGGCCGAGGCAGGTGGATCACTTGAGGTCAGGAGTTGATGACTAGCCTGGCCAACATGGTGAAACCCCGTCTCTACTAAAAATACAAAAAAATTAGCTGGGCATGGTGGTGCGTGACTGTAATTCCAGCTACTCCGGAGGCAGAAGCTGCAGTGAGGTGAGATTGTGCAACTTCACTCTGGCTTTGGTGACAGAGTGAGACTCTTGTCTAAAAAAAAAAAGAGGCCGGGCGTGGTGGCTCACGCCTGTAATCACAGCACTCTGGGAGGCTGAGGCGGGCGGATCACGAGGGCAGGAGATCAATACCATCCTGGCTAACACGGTGAAACCCCGTCTCTACTAAAAATACAAAATATTAGCCGGGCATGGAGGCGTGTGCCTGTAGCCCCAGCTGTGAGACTCCGTCTCGGAAAAAAAAAAAAAAAAAGAAAATAAAGATGGAGGTATGCAGCTATGAGCAAATTGCTAAAGTTTTCTGAATTTCAGTTTATTATTAAAAAATAGAAACAAAGCCTACTTCACCATTTTGTGAGATTAAGAAAAAAAAAAGCTGGAGTGGGAGACAAAGTAGATTTTATGGCAGAGTATTTAAAGGAGTCAATCAATCAAGAGACAATATCTAAAACATAGTTGTATAACTATATACAACTAATAACAGAACTTCAAAATACATGAAGCAAAAACTTATAGAACTGCTAGGAGAAATATAAAAATCCACAATTACACTTGGAGATTTCAATATCCCTCTTGATAAATGATAGAGGGAAGTAGGTATGAAACTAGCAAGGACAGCCAGGCACTGTGGCTCACGCCTGTAATCCCAACACTTTGGGAGGCCGAGGCGGGTGGATCACCTGAGGTCAGGAGTTCGAGATCAGCCTGGCCAACATGGTGAAACCCTGTCTCTACTACAAATACAAAAATTAGCTGGCCAGGCATGGTGGCTCATGCCTGTAATCCCAGTACTTTGGGAGGCCGAGGCGGGTGGATAACCTGAGGTCAGGAGTTTGAGCCCAGCCTGGCCAACATGGCGAAACCCTGTCTCTACTAAAAAAACACAAAAATCAGCTGGGTGTGGTGCAGGCGCTTGTAATCCCAGCCACTTGGGAGGCTGAGGCAGGAAAATCGTTTGAACCCAGGATAGAGGTAGCAGTGAGCCCAGATCATGCCATTGCACTCCAGCCCGGGAGACAGAGAAAGACTCCATCTCAAAAAAAAAAAAAGAGATCAGCCTTGAGGCTAGGGGCAGTGGCTCACGCCTGTAATCAACACTTTGAGATGCCGAGGCAGGCGGATCACTTGAGGTCAAGAGATCGAGACCAGCCTGGCCAACATGGTGAAACCCCCGTCTCTACTAAAAAATACAAAAAACATTAGCTGGGCATGGTGGTGTACGCCTGTAATCCCAGCTACTTGGGAGGCCGAGGTGGGAGAATTGCTGGAACCCGGGAGGCGGAGGTTGCAGCAAGTCAAGATGGCTCCATTGCACTCCCTCCTGGAGACAGAGTGAGACTCGGTGGTGAAATAAAAAAAAAGGCCGAGCGCAGTGGCTCACGCCTGTAATCCCAGCACTTTGGGAGGCCGAGGTGGGCAGATCACAAGGTCAGGAGATCGAGACCACAGTGAAACCCCGTCTCTACTAAAAATACAAAAAAATTAGCTGGGCGTGGCGGCGTGTGCCTGTAGTCCCAGCTGCTAGGGAGACTGAGGCAGGAGAATGGCATGAACCCAGGAGGTGGAGCTTGCAGTGAGCTGAGATCGTGCCACTGCACTCCAGCCTGGGCAACAAAGCGAGACTGTCTTAAAAAAAATAAAAATCGGAATTGGATACCGTATCCTTGGTTCCTGAGAAGTCAGAAAATGTTATTTAATAAGTGATCATGCCACTGCACTCCACCCAGAGACCCTAAGAAGCTTTTCACTGATATACTCCTTTGTCCTTATCACAACTCCACGAGGTAGTTTATCATTCTCATTTTGTGACACGAAATTGAGGCACAGGGGCTAAGTAACTCACCCAGAGCCTCATAAACAGCAAGTGGTGGGATCAGGATTCAAATCCGGGCGGTCTAGGACTTCTAAGATGGGCAACCAATACTGTCTGCCTACACAAAGAACAAGGCCAGAGTGCCTGTTTGGAAAGTCTAAAGGGGTATTGCAAGCTGAAGTTCAGCAGAGTGGGATCTGAACACCTACTGACAGCTTTGCTTCAGCTGTATCTTGTAGGTCAATAGAAATTCTCATTTCCTGCCCAGCACTGCAGTTACCGAACTCCACCTGAGAATATGAATTGAAAACATACTAAAGTCACTGGTTCAGAAAAAAACCTTACTCAGGAGAGATCTATGTAGTTAGAGCAAGACACGAACGGGACTGGGCATACACAGATGGATGGGACTGACTATCTGGCTTCTTCCTGAGCAGGGAACTTGAGGCCTGCTTCTGCAGAAGTGCCACTTCTGGTTGTGGACTTGGATTAGCCTTTTGGTTCCTGGGTTTCCCCATGGGAATATGCTGTATTAAAGCCCCCCTCAGCACTAATATGCTAAGTGCTTACCTAGAACAGTGCCTGGCACAGGTAAGCGCAAGTGCAACTGGTTTAGGAAGATGCCTTGAGACTTACTGTCACCAGGCTGGAGCACAGTGGCGCTCTCAGCCCGCTACCACCTCCACCTACCGGGTTCCAGCATTTCTCCTGCCTCAGCCCCTACAGGCACACACCACCATGTCCGGGTATTTTTGTATTTTTAGTAGAGACAGGGTTTCACCATGTCGGTCAGGGTATCTAGATGTTGTGATCCACCTGCCTCGGTCTCTCTAAGTGCTGGGATTACAGGGGTGAGCCACCAAGCCCGGCTACATTTAAGATGCCCTCTTCAACACTGCCTCACTCTTCTAAGAAAAATCAAGCTGTGTAGTCCCCTGCAATCCTAGCTAGTAACTAGCTTCCATTCTCAGACCAGTCCTGCCCTGAACACCCTGACAAGCAAGCTCTAGTCCACCAAACTCCAATCTCACCCACCTCCTTCAAACCTGTCCCATCAACTTCCAAATGGCTGTCCCACCTCCCCTATGCCAGCAGATAGACTTTACCTTCTAGATGATTCCCCATTACTTCCCATCCTTCAGGGTACTGAATATTTATGTTGGCAGCCAGTGTAGGGGGCTTGACAAAGTTCCCATTATGACCCATGTCATGAGGCAAGCAACTCTAGCAATCTTCAGGCTGAGGTGCACCAGGTAGCAAAGGCTCATACAACTCAGCTAGGGATACCACAACCTCCCATTGCTACCATTGATTTTCCTCCACTATATTGCAGGAAGCTAAAGGATTGGTCTAACAACTCATCTTGCACTCAACCCAGACTTATGGTCCTATTGGTCAGGATCTAATAACCATTTTCCCAATAACTTGCCAATATAAAGTGAACCCAAGGGGGACCCACCTGAGACTAGGTTTCAGGGCCTTTAGAACTGAAGCTATCATGCTAGTTTCCTTCAGCAGTACCATTCAGATTCTTGGCTGATGTCACCACAGCCATCTCCACATAAAAATGAACCACAAACATGTACAGCCATATTTATTTTAATACATTAACAAAGCAGATTAAGCAATTTGTTAGGTAAATTACAAATACATTAGAAATCACACAAAAGCAAAATACTCAAGGACTTTTAAAATACCCACCAACACTGTGTGCCTTCTGGAATCTGGCGTAAGGCCAAGCAGAGTCACTTCTCTGGTTCTTAAGGTATGAATGAGGTGAAAGAAGGTGCATTCCTAACCAAATGCCAAACTCCGAAGTCTTTAATACAAAACAGCAGCAGACTCTTAAAAGAGGGCCAGGTGTGGCGGCTTACGCCTACAATCCCAACTACTTGGGAGGCTGAGGTTGCAGCCAAGATTGCGGCACTGCACTCCAGCCTGGGCGACAGAGCAAGACTATCTCAAAGAGGTATGAAACGCACCCCAATCTTTTGCTCTAAGTCTGCCAAAGACTGTCCAAACCTCCCTGTTAAAAAAAAATCGGTTTACCTACTCTCCCTACTATATAAAGGACCCCAAAATTAAACATCAATGCTGAAGTGTGAACTGCAGACTGTCTTCTTTCCTAAAAGAAAATAAATAACGATTAGACTCCTGAAGATCCTATTTCAACTTAAAATCTAGTACACTGGACATGTTTCCTGCATGGTTTGTCTCCCCAGTCATTGTCCACAGGACTCTGGGAAGCTGTAGGAATATGCAGGCGCAGACACAACGCCCAGCTTCATCTTCAACGTTGTGGAAAGGGACTGTACATCATGGGGCAGAGCCCTAAGCTCCCGTAGGCCACTTGGACAGAGCCTGGGGAGAGTGACCTCCCAGGGTATCCACGTTGGAATGCTCATTAGTGAGGAATTGGAGTAACTGATAAATCCAATATTGCTAATCACCCACAGTATTTTCAAGGGCTAGAATCTTTTTCTCAGCTCAGACTACAGATGTAGACAGCCAATTAGGCTTCCTACAGTTCACACTAGGTTAACTTTTACTACATTGCACACTTTTAATCAGCTGATTAAAAAAAGCAATTTTTACATTAGAGTGTATGTTGAGGTTATGTCAACATGCCTACAAAAATGCAGCAAAGTTTACATTTGGGTGTATCAAACAAAAGTATTGCTCTGAGAATGATTCAATGCCTCAGAGGTAAATAAATCCTGACCGACTAAAATAAAGGTCTCTTCAATCCTGCTTCCATCACAGAAATCATTGACACAAGAGCTGATAAGCCAAAAACAATTAAATTTACTTACCAAGTAAGAGTTACTTGGAATCCTTAACAAATCCTGCAAAACAAGGTATTAATCTATTAGTACAGCAAAACACTAATCTTTTTCAATGAGGGGCCTCACGGTATAGCCTGGGGTTGGAGTGCAGTGGCACAATCATAGGTCATTGCAGCCTTGAACTCCTGGGCTCCAGCGATTCTCCTGCCTCCAGCTACCTATCATCATGCCTGGCTACTTTTTAGCCAATTTTTCTTAAACACTTATTAAGACTTCAATCCAGATTGAGTGCTCTAGAAGGTTGTTTCCTGCATGGTTTGTCTCCCCAGTCATTGTCCACAGGACTCTGGGAAGCTGTAGGAATATGCAGGCGCAGACTCAAGGCCCAGCTTTATCTCCAACGTTGTGGAAAGGGATTGTACATCACGGGGCAGAGCCCTATGCTCCCCTACGCCACTTGGACAGAGCCCGGGGAGAGTGACCTCCCGGGTGTATCCACGTTGGACAATCAGTGTAATGCGTAAGTTTACAGAATCCAATAGGAAACAATTTCATCCATTCATGTCACTACAGATCTTAAACAAGAACGCAAACGAGTTTCCACCCTGTCCACAGTGGGGTGTTAAAAAAAATCGGTTTCTAGACGGGTAACATGTCATATTCAGCTATTCTGATTACTTTTCAATAGGCGGTTAGTACCATGCGGAAGGTATGGCAGAAGCAAAGACAAAAATTAGGCCCAGCTATCCTAAATTCAAATCAAACACGCGGACTCGTTAAATTACCCCCAAATCGGACAGGCACGGTGGCTCACGCCTGTAATCCTAAAAAAGCAAAAATAAAAATGACCCAACTCACAAAAGTACGAGAGAATTACGAACAGTATGCTTCGAAACTATGAAAATCTTAGGCCGGGCGGGGAGGACCGCAAGGTAAGGAGTTGGAGACCGGTCAACATGGTTAAATCCCGTCTCTACTAGAAATATAAAAATAAGCCGGGCGTGGTGGTACACGCCTGTAGTCCCAGCTACTCGGGAGGCTGAGGCAGGAGAATTGCTTGAGCCCAGTAGGGGTCGCGATCAAGAAAAAAAAAAAAAAAAAGAAAAATTGAGAAAATTCTTAAAGGCAAGTAAGGATCCGGAATAAAACTGTGCAATTCCATTGAGAACGACAATGTGCATACTGAGAGGCAGTAAGATAAACAATGGTGGTGGCGGTGCACCTTCAGATTCAGAGACTCAGCGGGTCGGGTGGCAGCCCTGCAGGTCCCGAGGTCTCCATGGCCCACTTCTGGCCCAGGCCCTTCTAACGCGTACATTAGTTGGGACAGATGCCGCCTACGACATCCATATATAGTTTTAAATTACGTGATTCTCGGCCAGGCGTGGTGGCTCATGCCTGTAATCCTAGCACTTTGGAAGGTCGAGGCCTGTGGATCACCGGAGGTCAGGAGTTCAAAACCAGCCTGACCAGTATAGCGAAACCCTGTCTCTACTAAGAATACAAAAATTGGCCGGGCGTGGTGGCGCATGCCTCAATCCCAGCTGCTGGGGAGGGTGAGGCACGAGAATCGCTTGAACCCGGCAGGCGGAGATTGCACCGAGCCAAGATCGTGCCACTGCAGCCCAGCCTGCGTGACAAACCGAGACTCCGTCTCAAAAAAATAAATACATAAATAAATAAAATACTATATGATCCTACGGAAGCCCGGCTGCTGATTCATGGTATTAGACCCACAACTCCGGCGGCAGGCATCTGATAACACTTACCAAGCCGAAGACACGACCGCGAATCTTGTCTCCAAAAGGCCGAGTGAACGCAAAGCATCCTTATTTAAACCTTACGAAGTGCCCGGAAGTCATGGAATGTATAGTGCGCGTGCGCAGGAGCATGCGCAGTTAGAGAATCAGAAACTCGCGGAGGCTGCTGGGAATCTACTGTAGATTGAGTCCCACACCTTCCTGGCTCGGAATGCTCTCGCGGTAGTGGAGCCTTCGCGCGGGACCTTGCTGGGGAATGTACGTTACAGAAATAGGTTTGTAGGTATGTAGCTACAGAGGACGTTTACTTCTGTGCAATCATTGGACCCAGTCTGTAGGATATGCCCGTAGATAAACTGGCCAAAAAATTTTTGGAAGAGCCGAACGCGGTGGCTCACGCCTGTGATTACAGCACTTCTGAAGGCCGTGAGGGGCGGATCGTTTGAGGCCAGAAGTTCGAGACCAGCCTGAGCAGCGTGGCGAAATCCAGTCTTTACAAAAAATACAAAACAGAAGCCGGGCGTGGTGCCGCCAAATTCCAGTCCCAGCTACTCGGGAGGCTGAGGCATGAGAATCGTTTGAACCTGGGAGGCCGTGGTTGCAGTGAACCGAGATCGCGCCAGGGCTTTCCATCCTGGTCGACAGAGCGAGACTCTGTCTCCAAATAAATAAATAAGTAAAACGTTGGGGAATAATAAGAATGCAGAATTGAAAAACATCCAGAGAAATACGAAGTATCAAAAGGAATTGAATCTACCCTCTGACCAGTGAAAGAAATCATTTGATAAATGTGAGGGTAAATAGGATGAAAGTGCCTCTAGACGAATCAGATAAAAATAAAAAACACCAGGCCTGGCGCGGATAAAAATAAATAAAACTAAAAAATAAACTCCTTTGCACAACAGTGTGAAGGAATGTGCTTAAAAGCACTGCTCTATACTTTTTTTTTTTTTTTTTTTGAGATGGAGTTTTGCTCTGTCACCCAGGCTGGAGTGCAGTGGGGCCATCTCGGCTCACTGCAACCTCCGCCTCCTGGATTCAAGCGATTCTCCTGACTCAGCCTCCCGAGTAGCTGGGAGTACAGGTGCCTGCCACCGTGCTAGGTTAATTTTTGTATTTTTAGCAGAGACGGGGTTTCACCATGTTGGCCAGACTGCTCTCAAACTCCTGACCTGAAGTGATGCGCCTCGGCCTCCCATAGTGCTGGGGTTACCGGCTTGAGCCACCGCGCCTGGCCCCCTATACATTTTAAACTAGTTAAAATGGCAATTTGTACGTATATTTTACCACACAGACAAAACACTCCCAATATGAAGTAGGCAAGTAAAGAATGCTTACGATATATATACATGTGAAATGTTGCAAATATGATGGAATTTTTAGTATGGTGTAAGGTGAAAAAACGTTGGCTAGACGGACAGAGCTATCACAGCTGGGCTATCTTGAGTAGTAACGTTTATGGTGTTCCTCCTACACATTAGATTTTGTTCTGAATGCTTTATTACGCAAATTACTTACTATTACAGCAATTCTAAGACATTGGTATAATTATCCAGATTTTAAGATGTGAAGCAGGCCCAGAGCAGTGGTTCTTAAAGTGTGATCAGCAGACCACAGGGTTCCTGAGACCTTTTGGGAGGTTCATAAGGTCAGAACTATTTGATAATAATACTTAGACTTTATTTACCTTTTTTGCTTAGTTGATAAAAAATGATGTAAAAAACAGTGGTGGCAGGCATGGTGGCAGGCATGGTGGCATGGGCCTGCAATCCTAGCTATTCAGGAGGGTGAGGTGGGAGGATTGCTTGAGCTCCAGATTTCAACAGCTTGGGCAACATAGTGAGGCCCCATTTTAAAAATAAACGAATTAATTAATTTTAAAAAACAACAGTGGGTAAAACTGCTTGTGCCCTAGCACAATTCAAGGGCCTGTCACCAATGTGTACTGGTAGGTATCATCACAAAATCTCAAAATCAGTTAACAAAAATCACAGTATCAGTGAAAAAGTTAAGATTTTTTTTTTTTTTTTTTTTTGAGACGGAGTCTTGCTCTGTCGCCCAGGCTGGAGTGCAGTGGCGCCATCTTGGCTCATTGCAAGCTCTGCCTCCCGGGTTCACACCATTCTCCCGCCTCAGCCTACCAAGTAGCTGGGACTACAGGTGCCCGCCACCAAGCCTGGCTAATTTTTTTTGTATTTTTAGTAGAGACGGGGTTTCACTATGTTAGCCAGGATGGTCTCCATTTCCTGACCTTGTGATCCGCCTGCCTCAGCCTGCCAAAGTGCTGGGATTACAGGAGTGAGCCACCGCGCCCGGCTAAGAATATTCTTGATGGGGAAATACAAATCATTAGTTTTACTAACTGTCAACGTTTAAATATCTGCCTCTTTAATAGTCTGCATGATAAAGTGAGAAGCACACATAGAACACTGCATACAGTACGGGGGATTTCTCTAGGAACTAATGTGAGTTATAAGCTGAAAGAGCCACATTTTTCACAGAATAACATTTAACTTGAAAGAATGGCTGACATCTTTTCCAACTACATATCCATGTGAGACTGAAACAAAAGTCTTTTTATTAAATTTTTTTTTTTTTTTTTGAGACGGAGTTTTGCTCTTGTTGCCCAGGCTGGAGTGCAATGGTGTGATCTCGGCTCACCACAACCTCCGCCTCTCGGGTTCAAGTGATTCTCCTGCCTCAGCCTCCCGAGTAGCTGGGATTACAGGCACGTGCCACCATGCCCGGCTAATTTTGTATATTCAGTAGAGATGGGGTTTCTCCATGTTGGTCAGGCTGGTCTCAAACTCCCAAACTCAGGTGATCTACCCCTCTTGGCCTCCCAAAGTGCTGGGATTACAGGCGTGAGCCACCGTGCCTGGCCTATTACAATTTTTTTTTTTTAGAGACAGGGTCTCATTTTGTCACCCAGGTTAGACTGCACTGCAGCAATTATAGTACACTGCACCCTTAAAGCCCTGGTCTCAAGCAATCCTCCTGTTTCAGTCTCCCAAGGAGCTGGGACTACTGGTGTGAGCCACTACACCTGGCTTAAACCAAAGTCATATATTCTAACTATATACTCAAACAAAACAACACATAATAACAGATTGAATGTAGGTGCAGATATGAGAATTGAACTGGATTCTATTAAACCAAACATTCAAGAGATTTGTAAAAAATGTAAAACAGTACCACTGTTCTCACTAATTTTTGGAAAACTTTTTTTTTCCATAAAAATACATTGCTGGTGGGCGTGATGGCTCATGCCTGTAATCGAAACCAGCCTGGCCAACATGGTGACACTCCGTCTCTACTAAAAGTACAAAAATTAGCTGGGCATGATGGGGCACGGCTTTAATCCCAGCTACTTGGGAGGCTGAGGCAGGAGAATTGCTTGAACCTGGGAGGTGGAGGTTGCAGTGAGCCAAGATCGCACCATTGCACTCCAGTTCTGGGCAACAGAGCAACACTCCGTCTTGGAAGAAAAAAAAATTTATATATTAATTCAAGTTCCTAGAGAAATTGGTTAAAAAAAATTAAAAAAAAAAAAAAATATATATATATATATATTTTGAGACGGAGTCTCGCTCTGTCGCCCAGGCTGGAGTGCAGTGGCCGGATCTCAGCTCACTGCAAGCTCCGCCTCCCGGGTTCACGCCATTCTCCTGCCTCAGCCTCCCGAGTAGCCGGGACTACAGGCGCCCGCCACCTCGCCCGGCTAGTTTTTTGTATTTTTTTAGTAGAGACAGGGTTTCACCGTGCTAGCCAGGATGGTCTCGATCTCCTAACCTCATGATCCGCCCGTCTCGGCCTCCCAAAGTGCTGGGATTACAGGCTTGAGCCACCGCGCCCGGCCTAAAATATATTATTAATGTAAACATGAAGTGGGATTATTATTATTGTTTTTTGAGATGGAGTTTCCATCTTGTTGCCCAGGCTAGAATGCAATGGTGCGATCTCGGCTTACTACACCCTCCACCTCCTGGGTTCAAGCGATTCTCCTGCCTTAGCCTCCTGAGTAGCTGGGATTACAGGCATGCACCACCATGCCTGGCTAATTTTGTATTTTTAGTAGAGATGGGGTTTCTCCATGTTGGTCAGGCTGGTCTCAAACTTCCGACCTCAAGTGATCCGCCCGCCTCTGCCTCTCAAAGTGCTGGGATTATAGGCGTGAGCCACCGCACGCAGCTATTATTATTATTTTTGAGATGGAGTCTAGCTTTGTCGCCCAGGCTGGAGTGCAGTGGTGCAATCTTAGCTTACTGCAACCTCTGCTTCCCAGGTTCAAGTGATTCTCCTGTCTCAGCCTCCCAAGTAGCTGGGATTACAGGTGCCCACCACTACAACGGGCTAATTTTTGTGTGTGTGTGTGTGTGGTTTTTTTTGAGACGGAGTCTCGCTCTGTCGCCCGGGCTGGAGTGCATTGGCCGGATCTCAGCTCACTGCAAGCTCCGCCTCCCGGGTTTACGCCATTCTCCTGCCTCAGCCTCCCGAGTAGCTGGGACTACAGGCGCCCGCCACCTCGCCCAGCTATTTTTTTGTATTTTTTAGTAGAGACGGGGTTTCACCATGTTAGCCAGGATGGTCTCGATCTGCTGACCTTGTGATCCACCCACCTCGGCCTCCCAAAGTGCTGGGATTACAGGCTTGAGCCACCGCGCCCGGCCCAATTTTTGTGTTTTTAGTAGAGACAGGGTTTCACCATGTTGGCCAGGCTGATCTCGAACTCTGGAGCTCAAGCAATCTGCCCGCCTTGGCCTCCTAAAGTGCTGGAATTACAGGCGTGGGCTACCGCGCCCAGTTAGATTATTGTTTTATTTTATTTATTTTTATTTATTTTTTTGAGACAGAGTTTCGCTCTTGTTGCCAAGGCTGGCGTGCAATGGCATGATCTCGGCTCACTGCAACCTCCACCTCTCAGGTTCAAGCTATTCTCCTGCCTCAGCCCCCAAGTAGCTGGGGTTACAGGTGCCCACCACCATGCCGGACAAATTTTTTTTTTTTTTTCAGTTGGAGTCTCACTCTGTCGCTTAGGCTGGAGTGCAGCGGTGAGATCTCAGCTCTCTATAAACGCCGCTTCCTGAGTTAATGCGATTCTCCTGCCTCCGCCTCCCGAGTAGCTGGGATTACAGGCATGTGCCACCACGTCCGGCTAATTTTGTATTTTTAGTAGAGACGAAGTTTCACCATGTTGGCCAGTCTGGTCTGGAACTCTGGAACTCATGTCCTCAAGTGATCCACCTGCCTTGGCCTCCCAAAGTGCTGGGATTACAGATGTGA